GAGCTGATCCTGGTCCGCGCACGCTGGGGTCCTCTGATATTTTTAGTAACAGTGAAGTCCCTTGTGGAATCTCTTCCTGCATTTTGGATAAATGGGGAAGAAGCCCTTCTTCTATTTATTCTCCCATTCTGACGGCTTCTGCTTTTCAGGACACACAAACAAGGGGTTAGTGGTAAGTACTTCCTGCATTCCAAACACCACTTCCGATTCAGACTCTACCTTCCCCACCCCCTCACCTTCCTCCCCACCCCCCAGCCCCGGAAGCTGACGGCGCCGCCTGGTGGCTCACACGGGCAGCTCTGGTCTCCTGCCCTTCCACGCCCAAGCACGCTGATTTTGCTGTCACCCCCACCTGTCGCTGTGATCTTGCATCTCTTCTTCATATCCTATCTCGGGCGGGAATTCGACCTCACATCTCAGGGTTGCAGGTCCTGGATCAAGAGGCAGGCAATGCGGCATGGCCTCTGGCACCCCGTGGCCAGGGGCTGGTCCCCACTCTACCCTGAGCGCGTGCCTTCGGATGCACACCTCTGTGCCTCCAGTTCCTGCTCTGAAAAATGGAGACAGTAACGTGCCTCCCTCCCAGGGCTGCTGTCCAGTCACTCCGTCCTTCACTCTTTCATTCCTGTGTTCAGTGTTGATAGAGAGCCTTCCGTGGAGCAGACACTCGGGATACATCCGTGAGCAAAGCACAGTTCTCTCCCTCCAGGGCCGACCTGGCACAAGCGAGTGCCACCGGCCCCTTGGGAAACCGAGCTATTGCTCACGGCCAGCTCACCGCTCCCAGCGACACCGTTGCTTCTGTACAACACGTCCACTTGGTTCCATCTCCTGGGCCCGACTTTACGGTCTCCTCCATTTTCTCTCGAAAATCCCTCCTTGTCTCTGTCTCATCAGAAGGACCCTGATGGTGGCTCCATCTGAGAAAAGGACAGCCACACGTAATACACATTCTGTTAGAAACGTCCAAAATTTTCCCGTTAAAATGCCCTGAACATGCCCCGGAATGCTAAAAGGGGGGGAGGATTTTAACTGAGTTTTCCAGTTAAACCCCCTCTCCGTAATTTCTACCAGAATCCTGTCTCTTCATCATTCTTGGGTTCAACCAATCCTAGATTCTGGATTGGTGTTTCCTTAATGTACATTATTGTTGGTGCAGTGGTGTCTCATGGCAAATGCAGCCTCTCTTGACACTACTTCAGACTGAAGTTGTGATGAGCTTTTTATTGGCTGCCCGAGGAGGTTTGCTTATCGTACTTAGAGTAAGTCTGTGGGAAAATGCCTTCTGAATTCAAAACCAGTGAGCAGGGGCCGCTTGTCCAGCTGTTGGAACAACTCACTTCTTTGTGAGGCAGACCGACCCAAGAGAGCTCCGTCTGTGGACTCACTCGCTCTGCGAAACCGAACATACTTGCACACGCATGCACGCGCGCGCCCTCACACACATGCTCACCCCCCACATGCATGCACACGCATACATGGTCTCACACGTGCATGCACACACTCCCGCACATGCATGCACACCCTGAAGCCACACCACGTCAGGAGGTGGTCCATGGATCTCAGACCTGCTTCTGTGCCCTCTGTGGTTTGCACGTGGTAAGGGGAGGCTATCACTTGGACTCCACCCTTGTCCCCTAAGCGAGGTGTACGATTCTCACTCAGCGTGTTTCCTGGCCTTCTGAGACATTTCACTTCTCTTTCTTTTTCTCTTTATCTTCCAAATGTCCGATCTCTTACAAACTCTCCATTTAAATTGGTGTTGGGTTTTACAGACCTTTGCTAGTCCTGCGTGTCGTAGCAGTAGGTGCCATTGCGGGGCAGCATGGGGCTCGCCCGTCACCTCTCACACCAGCACTAGCAAAATCCAGAGCTCCGAGGGCAATCTGCCTGCCCAGGGTCCCCAGCCAGGCAGTGGCGGGGGTGATGGGGTGGTTACGCCCCCTCCGTCTGACCCCAGAGTCCAAGCCTGCACCACCATGAGGGCAGGGCCGTGCTCACACCACCGTGCGGTTCAGCCGGAGGCTGAGGTGGCCTTCCAGGGAGGCAGTCCATTCTGACAAGCACAGTGAGTTACCTGGGTGGTGTTTTGTGTTTTTTCCTCCTTGGAGTGCGGGGCTGGGCACGTGGCTGAAGGGCCTCTGCCCTGCCAGGCCTGCACTTGCCCCACCTTCGCTGAGACCCCCTGCTGTGGGTAAAGACCCAGAGGGCCTCGTGGTGGGCTTAGGGAAGGCTGCCTGTGTCCGTTTGCAGTAACAACTTCACCCAGCAGAGGCTGCTTGCAAAGCAAAGTGTGACCCTTTGTCTCAGACCCCTGAGCCAAGCTGCATGAAGGCCAGAGGCCCCCTGCCGTGCAGGAGCCCCCCCCCCCCCCCCCCCGCCTCGGTCACCTGGAGATTAAACCTGGCACCTGTGACTCTTTCCTCTCAAAAGAGCTGTTTCCCCAGCGTTCTACCTGCACAGTCTTTAGAATTGGACCGGTATGTGTCAGAGCCTGTGTTGTTAATTTGGAAACTGAGGATACCGATCCCCTCCTTCTTGGATGAAGCAGATCAATATGCCAGTCTCTCTGAAAGCGCCTTAAAAACAGCAGCTCAGTCTCCGTCCCCATCTGGTCATTTATCATTACCATCATATAGCAGCATCTTCTGTCAAAAAAAGTCACAGTAATGAAAGCATCCTTTTTTAATCAAGAACAGGAATGTGTTTTTTCAAACCTTTCTATTCTGGAAATGCTCAGCTATGCATAGAAGTGGAGAGAAGAGTATACTGGACCCCAGGTGTTCCTCTGTCTCCCAGGTCCCTTGTCAGTAGCATCTTCTGCTGTATTTGTGAGGCCCCTCAAGTATGGAAGGGACCTCTGCTCTTTTTAGCTCTGTTGTATTTTGTTTTCCCCACGCAGTAAAGAGAGTTTAATTAGCCACCAATGTTTAAAAATTGGTAGATTTCTTGTAAATGTGTAGGTCCCAGTCTTGTCTAGAAACATCAGAAGGCAGGGAGCGTGAGGCCCTCATTCCTAGGGGTGGGAGGGAGTAGGCGGGGCCAGGCAGCGGCCCTGCTCACCTCCCCACACCATCTGCCTGACCCTACAGGCGTTTGGTTCTACAAGCCTTATCCTAAACATGCTTCCCCATGAGCCTGGCTTTCATGAGGGGGATGACATCTGTTTTTCTGTCTCTCTCTGGATTTTTAGAAAGCATTCTGTATCCTAGGGTGAATGTACATAAGTTTCAAGTTCTTTCTTTCACTCATTCATTCATTCATTCATTCATTCATTTATTTTTAGAGAGCAAGAAGAACGTGGGGTGCGGGGAGCAGAGTGAGAAGGAGAGAGAGAATCTCTAGCAGACTCCCCACTGAGCACAGAGCCTGATGCGGGGCACAGTCTCACAAAATGAGATCATAACCTGAGCCCAAATCAAGAGTTGGATGCTTAACTGACTGAGCTACCCAGGTGCCCTCTAAGACTTTTGATAGCTGTTTGATAGATATCACTTCCTTCTTTTACAGGTCAAAAATGGTTGAATATTGACAATCTCATGTAGTTTGGCCTAATAAAAGACATGGTTTAAATGTTTAAATATGAACTAAGTAGAATGTGTTGTTCTGGGGGGGCAGGAGTTGGGGGTGGGGACACTAGCAAGTGTGTAGTTGTGATCCCGTCAAATTAAGGGTACGGTTGAGCAAAAGCCAATATCTGCAGCCTCTGGTTTTAAAATCACCTTGGCCTTGGGGCGCCTGGGTGGCTCAGTCGTTAAGCGTCTGCCTTCGGCTCAGGTCATGATCCCAGGGTCCTGGGATCGAGCCCCGCATCGGGCTCCCTGCTCGGCGGGAAGCCTGCTTCTCCCTCTCCCACTCCCCCTGCTTGTGTTCCTGCTCTCGCTGTCTCTCTCTGTCAAATAAATAAATAAAATCTTTAAAAAATAAAAATAAAAAAAAATAAAGTCACCTTGGCCTTCTGTGAGCCTGCTTTTCTTGTTTGTTTGTTTGTTTGTTTGTTTGCTAGCTATAATGGCTTTATTGTGATGATTCACATGCCATACAACCCAACCATTACAAGTCTTTGATTCTTAGTGTATTCCCAGTTACACGACCATCACCACAGTCAATGTTAGAACATTTTCATTCCCCCAAAGAGAAGCTCCGTACCCATTAGCACTCACTCCCCGTGTAACCCTGGTCCCCCAGCCCTAGCAACCGTTAATCTGCTTTCTGCCTCTACGGATCTGCCTGTTCTGGATGTTTCTTATAAAGGGAATCCTACAATCTCTGGTCTTTGGGGCCTGGCTTCTTCCACTGAGCATTGTGTATTCAGGGTTCCTGTGTGTTGTAGTGTGTGTCGGTGCTGCTTATTTTTGTTGTTGGATAATAGTCCACCGTGTGGATGGGCCACATTTTCTTCCTCCATTCATCAGTTGATGAGCATGTGGGTCGTGTCCCCTTATTGGCTATTCTGAGTAATGCTGTTATGAAAGCCGTGTACAAGTTTTTGTGGGACCATGAGTTTTTAGTTGTCATGGGTGCGTACCCGAGAGAAGAATCACCAGGGCGTATGGTAACTCTCCGTTTAGCCTTTGGAGAAACTCCTGACTGTTTCCAAAGCGGCCATACCGTTGCCATCCCCACCAGTGATGCGTGAGGGTTCTGGTTTCTCCATGTTCTCACTGACACTTGCGATCTGACTTTGGATGTGGCCATGCCATGGATTTTGTAACAAAACCTTCCTGGGGGCATAAGGTACTTGGAGAGGGTAGGAAAGGGACTGTCGTTTTGTTAGTGGCCTAGACTGTCATCAGCTGTGGTCGTTTTCAGAAATTCCTAAAGAAGCCAGGTTCTCAGCATGAGCTTCAACAATGCCCCGATCACGCACCCCCGTACCCTGTGCTGGTTGTGGTCCCCACTGGCAGGTGGTAGGAGGGCTTTTGTCTCTTATGGCTGGTTTCCAGGGTAGGAAGGAGCCTCGCCGTGTCTGACGTGTCACATGCCCCTTCTCTGTGCAGGTGTCACCATGAAGCTCATGGACGAGGTGGCTGGGATTGTGGCTGCACGTCATTGCAAGACCAACATAGTCACTGCCTCCGTGGACGCCATTAACTTTCACGACAAGATCAGAAAAGGTAACGGGACTCTGCTGACAGAATGCGGGGGGCCGTTGGCTCTCTGGCTCCCTTTGCCAACTTGCTTGTGGTTCGCACCCAGTGTCGCCAGCGCCCTGGTGTCTGCCCGTTTGCCAAGAGAAACGGGAAGCCAGTCTTGCACTTTGTTCTTGTTGATGCATCTGTGAGGCTAGGATTTGTTGGTTTGATTTTTCATCTGGTAAGACCCGTAATTTAGATGTGTTGGGGGCCTTTATGCTACTGAGGAGCGCCATAAACCCCTCTTAAAATGCCCCATGAACAGACACAGCTCCAGTGACTGGTGCCCCCAGATTTTACATGTTTCCTCTGGGGGAGGCATAGATAATCCATGATGTAAGTAGCGGCAGGATCCATGCAGAGAAGCCCATTGCTCACAGTCCTCGGCTAGCCCGCCTGCACCATCCAGGCAGCGCTGGGGTTTGGTACCTCCCCTGTCCCAGAGACTTGGCAGCCACCCAGGAGAGCGGGCCAGCTCCTCATGCCCATCCCATGTGAGTGCTGAGGGCGTGAGGTGAGTGACGGTCCCCTCCTGACACATGGTGATTTCTGCGTTGTGTCTTGTTGTGTCTTCTGCGGTTAGGCTCTGTGCCCCAGAAAAGTAGCGCTTCGCTGCGGGGTCAGGTGGGTAGGGGCTGCGGGGTTGGGTGGGGTCATGGCTGCAGGAGCCTGGTATTGATTCCAGAGCAGCCTCGCTGGGAAAGCTGTCAGGTCGGCCCCGGCCCCGGCCCCGGCTGGGAGGGGTGTGACATAGACGCCTCTGAGCACTGCTCTGTCCCGAGCCCCTCAAGGCTGTCCTGACTATTCGGAGGCCGCGGGGCCAGTGCCGCCAGCATGCTCTCCCCTGCAGAACACACTGGTGGTGAATGCCCAGGTGCGCGTCCAGGAGGGTCCAGGCGTTGGAAGGGTAGGGGGCTGGCTGCCTGCCTGTCCTGGGTCATTGAGAGCAAGTCAAGCATACCCTAGTAGGATCTGGGTGTTTTTAGGGTAAGGAAATGGTCTGTGGCACCACTCTGTCTGCTTTGCGCAGTCCCTTCGTAACTGAGGGCGTGAGGTGAGTGACCGTCCCCTCCTGACACATGGTGATTTCTGCGTGTGTTGTGTCACTGTGGGTGTTTGCCACAGACACAGACATCAATGTCATTTTAAAATTTGTCCACAACAAGTGGGTCTTGTCGTCTTGGATTGCCCTCCATGGGCCTCAGGTGCATATTATGTGCAGTGGTGGCACGAAAGTTTTGGAAAGGCAGGATCCCGTGCCAGGATTCCCTGCCTCTCTTTTTCTAGAACTACTCCCTGGATAAGTCCCTGCGATCAGAACTTCATTGTTAAACACAGCTTCAAAATCTACAGTGGAAAACGCATTTACATTCCATGACCTTGCTCTGTTCCGTGTCTCCCAAGTGCCCTTTGAGAAGCGCCACCTAGGAAAGGAGACTTTCCTGGAGAGCCAGCTGATATGCTCAGTGTCAGCCGGCTCAGCAGACGTGCTGTGCAAGCTCAGGGAAGCTCCCAGAGAATGCCCCAATCCCTTGTATGACCAGAATTAACTTCCAAGGGGGAGGTGAGGAAGGAGAATGGTTGGTTCCTGGTCCATGTGAATTACTAATTTGCAGGCAAGACCGTGAACTCTCCTTGGTGTACAGGGCCCTTTCTGGGACCCATTTAGCATCGTGGAAGCCACTGGGGCAACCTGTGTGTGGAGCTGCCCTTGACAGACGCTTTCAGTTTCTAAGACGTTCCTCTTATTCCAAAACACAGAGAAAAGGTTCTTCATTTTCAGAAGCCATAGTTCTGGCAGGATGTTCTACTCTGGATGGGTTTCCTCCAGCGGGCAGAGTGAGGGGTGGGCTGCGAGGCCTACCTGGCTGTACCCTTGGGTGCTGGAGCCTACACAGCCCTGGCCTGGAACCCACACCACCCAGGGCCCCTCGCCGGTGTCCCAGCCCTGGCCTGGAGTCCGTGCCGCCCAGGGCCCCCGTGTCAGCAGCCCCTGGCGAGCAAAGAGAGAGGGTTTCTGCCTTCTCGGATCACTTCTTGTTTTGTGCATAAAGGGATGTGGGCCACAGTAGCAGCTAAGGAGTCTGGCCTTTCTGTGCCAGTGTCCCCCAGGCGCTGTTAGACACTGTCACACCTTAGAGACTGTGCCGGTGTCCCGGGTGGGGTCTCCGTCTGGCAGCGCGCCGGCCACACCCGCCTCAGACACAGAATGGGCCCGTCTTGTCCTCAGTTCCGGGGGGGCAGAGGTCTCTGCAACACGGCTCCTTTCCTCCCCTATTCTTTGCTCCTTTCTGGGCATACGCGGTGTGAGGCTGGGGTGACCCTGCGCACTGTGGATTCTTGAGTGCAGGCAAACCTGTTGAGGTCCCGTTAAATCCCAACCTGTGGGTTCTAGTGTGGCCTCCATGCTCCTGCCATCCCTGATCCAGCGGGAAGGGGCCAGGAGAGCCGGATGCTGCCGCCCGCCAGGAGGCTGGGTGGGACCCCCACACACTATACCACGGTGGGACAGGGGCAGAGCTGAGTGCTCTGGAGAGTGGTGTTTGTGTCCCAGGGCTGCACCACAAGGGACCACAGACTGGGGGCTTCAAACAGCAGACCTTTGCTCTCTCACAGGCTGGAGGCCCCAAGTCCCAAATCCAGGTGTGGGCAGGGCCACTCCAGAGGCGCTAGGGGAGCGTCCTTCCTGCCTCTTGCAGCCTCTGCGGGCATTTCCCGGTTCGTGGCCACATCACTCCAACCTCCCTCCACCTTCACGTGGCCTCTCCCGTCTCTTCTTCTGCCTCTTATAAGGACACTTGTCAGAGGATTTAGGGCCCACCCGGATAATCCAGGAGGATTTCATCCTGAGAGCCTTAAATCAGTGGCATCTGCAAAGACCCTTATTCCCAGTAAGATCACATTCGGAGGTTCTAAATGGACTTACGTTGGGGTGGAGGGCACTGTTCAGCCCACTACACATGCTTTCTCTCCTTACAGCTTGATTCTAGTAGACACTAGCTTCACTTTCTCTTTTGCAAAATTGTGAGGTGAGTAAAATCTCTTCTGTGCCCCAAGTTGCCCCTTTCCCCACATGGATGTGAATGTGAGTCCTCCCTTATGAGGGTCAGCGGTAAAGTCAGCACCCAGGCCAGAGAAGGAGTGACTCTGAGGGGCCTAGAGGGGAGGGCCCACGGTTTTGAGAAGGACAGTCATACACCCAGGGCTGGGGAACCTGCCTCCTGAGAGCAGCCCCACTAGAGCAGAATTGAGAGGCCCCATGCTTCTCCGGCGGGGCCGGGGGGGGGGGCACTGAGGAAGGAGCAGCGGCTTTCCTCTGCACGGCAGGAGACAGGGTCAGCCCTGGGACACAGAGGGCAGCTCCGAGCTCTGTGCTGCTCATCTGTAAAATGAAATCAGCGCAGGGACTGTTTTCAGGAACGATATTTTCATGGGAAAGGCACGTGCCGGCGGCTGAGCCACGGGGCCCCCTGGGGCCGTGGTCACGGGGCAGCAGCTGCCCACAGCCAGCGTCCGGCCTCCTCAGACACACCGCCCTGGAGGGTGCAACCCTAACAGGCCACCGCTCCTCCCCGAGGGGTGCCCCCCACCCTCTGACGGCTGATCTGACGCGGTGGGGAAAAGCCCAGAAATGTAGACCCATCGCCAGCCACACGTGCCCCCACATGTCAGTTCACTGTGGCCGCTCTAATCAGTTACCACACAACCCGTGCCTGAAAGGTCCCAGGCTCCCTCCCTCATGCTTCTGCAGGTCAGGTCCATGGGGCTGCGTTCCCAATGTGGGGCCCGACTGGGTGGTGCAGCAGAGGTGGCCAGCACCGTGGGGTGGGGTGGGTTGATCCAGGACCCCCGGCATCACTCAGGGCAAGCTGGTGACACTGGAAGACCTGAACGCTTGCCCCGTTGCTGATTGTTTCTCTTTAAGATGAGATGTGAAAATGCCAGGGCAGCTGTTGAGGGCAGTAAAAGTGGCACGTGGTTCCTGTAGCTCTCAGGGTTCGGGAAGCCCTGGCAGGAACCCCTAAAGCTGGAGCTGTTGGTGGAGAAGCCGTCTCCCCAGACTGTTTGGGTGGGAAGTGAGGAACCTTCTGGAAAATGCTTTGGGCTGTGTTATGTAAGACACACCGAAGTTACTTCACTACCTCCCTGCTTTTCTGAGGAACGCTCGCTGCCGCTGCTCTTTTTGGAACTTCAACACTGAGCTGTTCTTAATGTTTGAAGTCCTTGGCAGCCCCTCAGCTGTGGTAAGAGCAACTTTTTATTATTCTGTTTGCCCAATCCCGGCAAGCCGTGCTGCCTGCCCTGGGTGAGACGCTCCTCCGCTGCTGGGGGTCGGGCGGGGCCCCCCCTGCCGCTCCCTGGGGCCCCAGAAACAGAAGGGAGCTGCGCTTCCTGAGTGTGCGTTAGGCCCCGCTCGAGGGCCATCCGGTTTACCTGCCCAGTGCCGCAGGAAGCCTACTCATCCCCACTTCTCCGGTCTGGAGCCCGAGGGGGCCGCAGGGCCGCTCGCCGTGGAGCCGGAGGGCAGGCCGCACAGCCGGCTCCGGGGCCAGATCTCTGAGCCCCTCACTCGGGCGCCCCCTCACTGCCAGGCTTGATCGACACGGGCATCCGCCACCGCCGGGGCCCGGGCATCACCGTGGCGGGTGACGAGCCTGTACCCTCATGTCAAATGCAGCGCCGTTCACCCTTGACCCTTACGCAGCTGCCAGAGTGGCGGCTGGCCCGCTCAGTCGTGTGAAACCCTCTCCTGGCTTTCCCAAGTCTCTCGAAAACATGGCTATGGCTTCTCTCAGTTGGGGGAGTCCAGCCGCAAGGAAGGCACCACTCTGTCCGTGTCTCTGGCATCGGCCTTGGCCCGGGGCCCTTTTCCCACTGATGTTAGTCAGTCCCGCCTCCAGCTGCACCCTCAGTCTCATCAGCTTTGCCTGGGGGGGGGTTCCCCACCTGTGCCGTCCCCCACACCAGTTGCTGACCCCCCG